ATGTTTTAATATCATTATCAAAATCATTAAAGCACAATTTAAAGTGAGATTACAGGAGCCTCATGATTTGCATTTTCTATATCTCGAAGGGAACCTAAATCTCTAAGACTATCGAGATTTGTCATCTGGAAAAATTACCAAAGTTACTTTACTTGTAGATTGTAAATTACAAGACTCTCTGATTTAAAAACAGAACTATATATCTATATATAATAGAGATGTATGCTTTTACCAGGTTCTGAAGAAATATTCCCAGTTCCGTTGCATAGGAAGATTCAATGTTTTGGAGCTTGGTCACCAAATACACTAAAAGGATATTGATTCAAACCATTAAAATATGTCTCTCACATGTTCCTGATATTAATAGAGGTGCATTGTTTAAAGTGGGGTGGTATGAGGTACTTATAGTCAGAGTATCACCCACAGTATGCCTGTCAAGCCACCACTGCATGAAGCTAAGTGCTGGGAACAGGTGCAGCAGGGAAATGTAGTTCAGCCAACAAAAGGAGCTGGTAGGGATCAAGGAAGTGGTAGCCATGCAATATAGAAAAGTACCAGAAATGTAGTGTACACTGAAATTGCAGTATAGGCTACATTACATAGCCTCTTTGCTATTATGGATAAGTACCTCACCACTTTTTTAATAAAAAAAACTAAAAAAAACTAAAAACCCAACTCTATATGAAGTTAAAAGAATCCGCTTGTGTTGTATTCAAATGAATGCTCCTATTTATTTATTGATAACAATTCAAATTTGGAGTCAAAGTCCAACTAGTTTGCAATAACATTTCTGTCAATGAACTGATTGAAAACAAAGATGATTTGGGAATTTTCAGGGGATGCAATTAGGTCATTTTATATGAAGGAAATGATAAGCCCCTATATCAGAACTTAGCACATTTTCTCATAGTTCATATATATATTTATGAATTCTCATATTTGAATTGAATATTTTACAAATGAAAATTACTAGGTTTCATGTACAAGTATAGAAACAACATGTAGACTCAACTAACCAAAAATGTTCAGGGTTAAAGGACAAAGAAATGGCACAAATCACAATTTCTCCCAACTTTATTTCTCACATTTAACTTATTACACAGACAACCAAATGAGTGTGACATACATACATAGAAAAACATTAGTAAAATAAATTAACAGAAATAAAAAAATTGGAGAGCATGATTAAATATTCAACAAAATGTGTGACAAAAACCTAGTTACAAAAGTGACCAGGAAACTAATGTTGTTGTCTTTATTCAGATCAAGGGTCATTGTCTTTGCCAGAACTTAATGTCAACTGACTTGCACTTGCTAACAAATGCAAACAAACACGAGGTTGCTCTCAGATTCTGTAAAGGAAAAAACATCTGAGAAAACTATTTTAAATCCTTAGAATCAAAATCAGAATACTTATTTATCCGAGGGGGATAGGTTTCTTTGTGACAGTTGCTCCATTTTGAAAGATATGTCTTGAAAACAACAATTATTTAAAAATAAGATTCAGACAATCATTGATTGCATATAGCTCTAAGCAACACAATTGAATTCATCTGGTTCAAACTGCTTTTCAGCAAATAAAAGTTACAGCTTGTTGCAGTTTTGTACGTTATATTAGTGCTCGCTGCAGTGCTGAAAGCTACATGCTCATTTATTATGTTTCCCAGTGGAGGACAATATCCCTTCACTTTTCTCTCAGAAGCAGATCATCTGCAGCAGGGAGTCATTCAGAATGGACAATTGTGAGTTCCTGAACGCTCCCTATATCCCGCTTAGCTGACAAAGTGCGTATCACTCAGCGTAGTTTATAGTGAAGCCATATACAGTATTGTTACAATGAGAAAAGTCAGAGTAAAAGAGCTGAAACACAGGCAACATCTTGACCAAATGTAGATGGGCAACACCTGTAAAAGGAATGGAGAGTGACAATTGCAGGAACAAATGTTACATTTATTTTAATTGATAGCATCTATATTAAGTTAATATAGATGCTAACCATTTCAGTTAATTCAACAGTATTCTGCCCATTTGATGAGTGTTGTAGGTTTGTGCTGTTTGGAAACTAGACTTTATTATGCCCTGAACTTTTCAAGTCCCATACAAGTCACACATTTGATGATTTATAGAGATAATCGTCAATCAAATTGTAGTGACAAGGGCATGATCACAACATTAGACATTATTGTATTTATTTAGAAAAATATTAGTCCAAAGTACATTTAGTCAGTATGACACAGTAATTGATATGTACATCATTATCACCCTTCAGATTTAGTTTGCCTTTCATGCCCTGCAAGATTGGACTAAGTTGCAAGGCATACTTAACCTGGTCTCCTTACCCTCTCTTGACATAAGATAAGATGGAACTTTATTCATCCACGTGGGGAAATTCGGGCGTTTATAGCAGAGTGATTTATTCTTTAAAAATGTTTGAAAGAACAATAAGGTTGCTTATAATATATAAGCATATTTTGTGTCTGTTTGCTCTTTTTTTTGCCGTCTTGCCCAGAAGAGATTTTTATTTTTGTATGGTCTTGAGACCTTTCTGGTTAAATAAAATAAAGGCATGTCTGCAGTGACCGTTATAGGGATGGGACGATATAGAATTTTTATGGGGATCGTGATAAAAACACGATTGGGGCAATTTTGATTATGGGGATGATTGTAAATATCCTCACGAGTGACCATGACCATGTTTTAAAAAATACAGGAATTATCATGTTAAGAAACTGAATCACACAATGTTGCTTATAGAACAATTTATCCTTTATTAATGTAAATTAGTTCAGATCAATTTATTGTGTTTCACTAAAAAGGATGTTTGTCCTGTCTGTGATGCAATATGCAAAATGTAAGGTGTGTGATTTCCGTGAGTTTTATTGTACATTTTAAGAGATTAAGCATATTTATATGCAATACATGTGGGATAATATTGTGAATCGCAATTATTTTAGACAGGATGATCCTGAAATGAAATCTATACACTGTATACTGTATGGTCCCATGCCTAGATAGTGACTCAAACATGACTGTATTGATTCAGACATTATTGTGCTGCTGACTCAAATGTGAGTTAAACATGGTTTTAGAGACTCAAACTTCAACATTTAACATTAAAACATCAACAACTCGGGGCTCGACTCGGGTTTATTGTTTGATTAATCGACTTCAACACTGTTACTAGTTTTTTCATGCTGTCTGCCTCTTAATGTTGCCCATGTGTCATCGCCTCGAGGAAAAGCCTGTAGCGTACAGCAGCCATTGCACCACTATTGAAAAAAGCATATCAGGCTAACAGGTAGTAATTATAGCAATCACATGACTGATTGTAGAGAAAACATCCTCAGTGGCTACAACCATTCCTATTAGCAAAATAGAGATATCTCAGTCACTGTATGTAATACATTTAACATGATGCAGCATTTCAATGATGATAGTCGCCATTTCCAAGAGGAATCGATAAAGTGCCAAAACCTTACTTGACGCTACAGATTGTACTTCCTGTTTGGAAAAGTTAAGAGGAGTCGCTGTTTTCTCCGGATTCAGACACCAGGGGTAAACTACTGAACATCTCTGAAGTTTTAATAACTACTAGCAGGGCCGGTTCTAGCCAATTTGATGCCCATGGCGAGATTTTAGCTGGTTTATTTTCCTATAGTATACATTGAAAATGATGAGAGAACACAGAGATGTTAGACTTTGCAGACCATTTACATGCACGCTAGCCAATAGGAGAGAATATTACTTAGTGACGTCACTTTTTTGCTGAAGTTAACAAGGAGTCCAGACAGGAAAGGGAAAACATAAAAAGCATAACAGGGCCCCTTTGAGCTCATCATATGTTTTGAATGTCAAATATTAGTAATAATTACGAGTGATACGTTAATAACAGTAATTGTAAAATTCTAATAAATGAAGTAAAGAAATGTGTAAAATATTGGTCAGTGTTTCCCCTATATACAAATGGCGGCGGCACAGCAAATTATTATTATTTTTTATTAAAATATCCGACTGTAGATTGTGTCAATAATTAATAATTTGAAATACTTTTGAGTAGTTTCATCAGTAATATTGCACTGTTCTAAGCTCATCAAACATTTTGTATGTAAAATAATAACAGTAAATGTACAGTATTAAGTAGTATAACCTTAAGATAAATATATTGGAGTGAAATAAAATCTGAAAGTTTGTACGTAGGTCAAATATTTGAAATGCGCTTAGGTACATTCCATCAGTGGTTATCAAAGTCAACAACGTGTTCTTCAGAATTAAACCTACATCAGGTGGGAAATGTAATTATTTTAGTTTCCCTAAATATGTTTTAGCCAATGATGACGCTGCAGCTGTGGACGCTTCAGACTTTGAAGCCTCGTTTACGTTCAAATGTTACGGTGGATAAGGTGCTCTCTGCTATGATTGTGTCCCTGGTATCAGGATTATTTTTCGTGCAGTGCAAAAAGCTGAAAGCATAAGGCACAATCAACAGATGGTGACATTATCTAACATCAGGTAAGGGTATGCAGCTTTAGGAAATGCTTACCTTTCCCAGAACCTTTAAAGAGATCAGCAAGTTAAATGTCTTTTTATGCATTTCAATTTGAAGCATGAAATAAACCCTGGTGCCTAATACCCATGAATATGTCAGTGACTCCTCCTGCTCACCTCCTACGAGCCTCTTTAACTCTCACTGGACAACACATCTTCTACTCACTCGTTATATCGACTATCTCCTATCCTCACTATTTTTTCTTTTCTGTCTCTTCCTCCTCTCCTCTCCACCATTCTTCCTCCTCATTACTCCTCTGTTTTCTTTGCCATCTTCTTCTTCTTCTTCTTTCCTGTAGGCTCCATTTATCACCTGTCTATCAAAGACCTTCATAACCTGTCCCCTCCTCCTCTTCGTCCATCAGAGATGTGTGTCCTGCTCCTCCTCTCCTTCCTCCTCAGTCACTGCCTGATTGACAAAGACCTACAAAATACAGATTAAAATTAGTTTCCATAAAATTGTGATTGTTTTTGTCACAGCAGCATGTAAACAGGCGTCACACATGAAATAGAAATATAAAAAAATAAAAAATAATAAAATAATTACAAGGTACATAAACATTATTTATAAAACGGACAAGTCAAATCAAGCAATCTGATTGGTTTTTAGCCGTGATATACTGAGCGTATACCACCTCGGCCGAACCACGCCCCTTAGCTGTGATATAATGAGCATATACCACGGCCTGTCGTGAGCTATTGCTTAAATATACAGTAGGTACGGTAGAACAGATATAAATCAAACAGATATAGATACTCTATAATAGACTAATCTATGATAAGTATCATGTGTAAATAGTGTAAATCCTGGTTATGGCTAGCTAAGGAGTTAAGTAAAATAAAAAAATGTAACATCTGGAAACATCCAAATCAGGAGTCTTGAAATATATATTTTTTTCATAGCAGGAAACTGCATACTATTTAATTGAATCCAAGAAAAAAAAAAAGAAATATTCAGAGTTGTTCCCATGGAAAGAGTCTGTTTCAAAATAAAAGGAAATAGGTAAGAGCAGCTTTAAAAATGTATGGCAGCCACTGATAAATTCCAGCAAGTACATTTCCCCTCTGTGGGACGAATAAAGGTATTCTGATTCTGAAATCTCCAGAGGCTTTTCTACAAATCACTCAGCTAACGATTTGCATGTAAACAACAGTGTTGTTACTAACAGTAGTAGTAACCTGTTTTACTATGTTATTAAGCTCAGGCAGTAACAAAGTCATGATGTTAAAGTTAATTTAAAAAATAAAAACATGTTAACTATCAACAACATGCTTTTTCCAACCCCCCAAACAAAAGACAGCAGGGAATTTACAACTAAACATTTCAACCTTGACTTATTCATTTATTTCCTCGTCCACATGTTCATTTAAAAAGTCGTCCAATCACCTGCCAGCGACTGCTTTCCTCCCCGCCTCCTCCAGTTCCTCCTCCCCCAGTTCCTCCAGTTCCTCCTCCTCCTCCTGCGAGCCCATTGGTGCTCGGCTTCTTCTCCTGCATCTCAGACTGGTTGTCATTGGTTACGTCCAGCATTGGGTTGTCGTGGCAACCGTTCTCCACAAAGTGAAGTTCCTCATTGCGAAACTGTGAGGTCAAAGAAATATATTTTAAATTGCATTTTGTCATCATTATATATTTAGAGAGCTAATATATATATTTAGCCTTACCAGAATTAGTTAGCTTGTAGCTTGCTTGTGAATGTTAGTCAAACTTTGTAAAAATGTTGAACTAACATTAATGCTTTTTGTTGCCAGATCTCATGAGAATATGTTGCTGTGCAAGGCAAATCAGACAAAATGCGATTATTGTGTCAACATGTTAGGATGATATGTTCCTTGTAGAAAATGTGTTAAATACTTATTTTGGTGACAGTGGGGGAAATAGTCAATTATAATCTTGACCTATTTTTATTTCATTTCTTGTATTTGGGAGCCATGAGCAAATTAATGAGAGGGACATTCTGTTTCAGAATAATAATTACAATACTGAATTATAATTATTAATTCATTTATGTGTTTATCACTTTAATGTTGCAGCTGGTAAAGGTAGAAGCAGTTTTTAGGTACAATATATACTGCTGCCTAGGTTAACTTGTTGTAACATTTTGTAGCCTAATGTGTTAGTTAAATTATATGTTGCATTGATAATCTAAATCTGCAAAGTAACTGAGTTATGAAACAAAAAAAACAAATAAAAAAAAAACAGCATTTGCCTCTGAGATCTAGTGTAGATGTAGTTCAATGGAGATACTCAATACCAAAAAACAATTGCCTCAAAGTACTGTAGTAAATGTACTATTCAAATTTCCCGCCTAAATGTTGACTCACCGTGGTCTTGGTTGCAGGCAGTCTTCTCTGCCAGCATATGTAAATGAATCCAGATGTGATGATGACCATGCAGATGGAGCCGATGATCACCAGAACCACGAACAGCTTCCCGTAGTCGCTGCGTGTCTGACTGGGACGAGATGGGCAGCTGCTGGCCGAGCTGTAGTTCTGGATGCCCAGCTGATCACACACACACACACACACACACACACACACACACACACACACACACACACACACACACACACACACACACACATATAAATAAATAACACACTTTTTTCATAAATTGTTATCTGTGCAAAATGCTGAAAGATTCTGCACATTTCTCAATATTTTTTCGATTTGAATGACCTTTTTTTAAACAGTATTCAGCCCTTATCAATTGTAACACTTACATTGGATACATTTTATTTTCGGAAGGGTGTAGCTTGGTTGGAAAATATTTGTTTTACTAATGCAAACAGCGTTGGCAGAGGTTCACATTCTTTGAGTTCCATCCTTGAGGAAAATATTTCTATCTTCTATTTATGATTCATGACTCATGTTTTTTTCTTTCACTTACAAGGTTTTTTTATGCACAAACACAAAAAGTCCATACCTACTTATTGTGATTAAGCTTGAAATTCAACATGCTTAAACAGGTTGAAATCACAATGTGTTCTATATGAGCAGAAATCTTGTAATTGCTTCCTTTCATTTATTGCGACAATTGGTTGGGCTTTGCAATACGCAGACAGTAGTACATATCAAAAGACGTTACCGGCCTGTGTACCTTATTCAAATGTTTCCTGATTTCTCCCAGCATGCCCAGCACATCCTTGGTGGCTATCACTCCTGGAGGACGCAATACGTGGAACAATTTTAACATATTTAAAAATATATACTGTATATTGTAGGCATGTGAATATGTTAAGAAGCACTCACAGCACCGTTAAAATCGGAGCACCTTTTACTTCATTATGTACTTTAAAATACAAAACTGAAAATGTGAATGTGAATAGCAGTCGAAGTACCTCTTGCTTTCTGCACAAAAATGTGTGTGTGTGTGTGTGTGTGTGTGTGTGTGTGTGTGTGTGTGTGTGTGTGTGTGTGTGTGTGTGTGTGTGTGTGTGTGTGTGTGTGTGCTTACCGCGGTCAGACGCCACGTTCATCAGCAGCTGGTGTTGCTGGTGTGTAGGTTTGCTGAGAGAAATTAACCATGATCCCTCTGGGCTGTTCATTCTCCGAGCGAACACGCGCTCCATGACCTTCAACAACCGTACACCCTGGTCCACGCGAAACTCCTCCTGTAACACATACACACACACACATATTTATCTTTATACCACAAGCTACAGCTTGATTTGCAGTAGACATAAAAACGTCAAATTACAATTATACCATTTTCAGTTTTCTGCCTTTAATTCAATCAAATAATCATTCATATATTATGTTGTTGTCAATAAATATGTAAACATAACAAAGTTATAACATCTATTTCTCTAGCTTTCTCTTTCTATGCACAAATATCACTATGAACATATAGAATATATTCAAAGAAAAAGTACCAATATAAAGTCAACTTCTTTAAAAAAAAATAGGTGCAAGAAAACAGGAGCACATCATTGCTGCCATAGCAACTATAAGGTCAGTACGGTGGTGGTGAGGGTTTGTGTTATTGCCATGACGACAGACATTATGGTGAAGGTACCTTCCTCTCTCACTTGAAAACTCCAGTTCACTGTCTGTCTGACAGCGTGGGAGAAAAATGGAGTTAAACTTTTCACGACATTTCAACTCTATTTTTGAAATGCTAAATTATTTCTCATCTCATTACCCATCATTGTAACATTTCTCTCTTCGATGAGTAGAAGTACAAGGATGCATCAAATAGAAATATGTAAGTGAAGTAAGAGTACCTCAAATTTGTACTTGAGTATAAATGCTTTTTACTGTACATTCCACCACGTTGAACATTAAATAAAATCCCATCAATGTCACAAATTAATCTTTTATTGTTGAAACCTTTTATCTAAATATTTCCCCCGTGTACTTACACAGTTTAGGTTATGCGTCATGTTGAGGACGACGTACCCACGTCCGACCAGCTCGCTCCACTCCAAACACACCACCTTTAAACAACAGTAATATCAATATTAATTAATACATTAATAAAGGTTAGAACAGAGACAGATTTAGATTTGAACAAACCTGCCGTGCTTCCTCCATCTCATCCACATCGTGGACCTCTGTGACCCTGCCCCCCCTGATCTCTGACCTCTGGGTCTGCAGGACAGTGGTCTTCTCCAGTAAATCCCAGTCTGTGGTGAGCGGGACCATGTGTCTGTTTCTTGTTCCCTCCTCTTCCTCCTTCATTTGTTTCCATTCCTCCTCCTTCATCTCGTTGCTTCTGTCTGGCAGTATGCCCCCTTAATCGGGATAACCAGAATAATCCATTTATAATGCATTTATTCAACCCACCCTTTAATTAAAACATGTCCAATCTATTCCAGCACTTTAAAGTGATAACAGGTAAACAGGCCCTATTCTACTTTTTGGGGTTTCCCTATCCTGTAGTGTGTTCTATAGGTTTTTGTGCATGAAAATGGTCTGCAAAGGCTCAAATCCCTGTGTTCCCTCCAGAGGGAGTTTCTCTTCCACACAATTCTCCCCCCCCCCCCCAATTCTCCCCCCCCCCCCCCCACCTGAAACGCCTCCATTGGACTCCTTTGTTTACTTCTGTAACATAGTGACATCACTATGTAACACTCTTCTATTGGCTAGCGCTCCAACACATTGTACGTGATAGGCTGAGGGGTGGGACATCTCTTAGAGGTTGACCAATCACAACAGATCCGGCCAGCTAACCAATCAGAGCAGACTGGGCTCTGGTTTCAGACAGAGGGAGAACGGAGGTGCTGCAGCACAGGCAGTATGAGAAAAATGAAGAGCTTTTTGAACATTAAAGCATGGAGACATGTCACAGGCACAAATACAGAAAAATTATTTGCAAATGACCATAATAACTATTTTTTAAGATTAACCATTGGAATTCTCAGTACTTTCTTTGAAAGTGGGCGCTTGATTTCAAAAGAAAGAGACAGGCTGTTGCTCACCTTGTGACTGGTGTTCCTTCTCTTCCTCCACGCTGGGCTGCAAAGGCTCTCTGCTGGGAGCCATGCCAACCTCTGCTGCTGTTAGATTCTGGGTAAAAAGGCCTTTGTGTGCAAGCTCCGTTTCTTCCTCTTCCTCCCTCTCTGTCTCTTCATCCTCTGTCTCCTCTGCAGAGACTAACCAGGGGAAAGACAACAAGCAGCAGAGACTTCATCTTCATCTTCTGCAATCTCATGTAGGTGGAGTTAAGATGCAGAACAATGATAGGCATGCGACAAAGTATTATTTTCATTAGAAATGAGTTGGCAGATAAAAGAAAATGTAAGACCCTTTTTCACAACTTGATAACATTTATACATTATACAGACCAATACAAAACACGGGAAAGCTGTGAAGCCTTAGTAAACATTTTTTGTTTTATCATAGACAAGAATCCAGTCTACAACAAGAGAAAATATTGTATGTGAAGACAAAAAACAATGGTCTTTGTTTTTTGTTGGGAAGCAGTTTGTCAGTGTTTCTTAAGTGACTTAATATCGTCTTACGTTTGATTTCAGCTCACGTTAGAGTAGGGAAAAGCAGCAGCTGAATTAATGATTATTTTCATTATAATTTAATCTGCAAATTATGCTCTCGATTACCATTGGGGCTATAATTCCAAAGATATCTAGTTTAATATGATACAAATTTGAGAAAATCTAAAATGGTCAATGTTTCAGAGGCTTACAAACAGCATTTTTCTGACATTTCTTTTTAAATGAATTATTCAAACATTTGTTGTTTATTTCTCTGTCGATCTACTGAATAATTAGACGACTAATCCTCACAGCTTAACAGCAGACCAACAATCTAACGTCAGTAGTGTGAAACTGCATACACTGCACAGACCCGACATTTTTCAAACAGAAATAGTGATTTCCTTTTTTTTATTCAACTTCTTATTGCTTTTACTTTTGTTCAGAGTATGTATGCACTAGTATTACTGCTGGTACTCACTGTAGGAAAGTTATTACAATTCATTGTGGTGCCAACATGAATCAAAATTCATGACATCCACCAATTAGTAGGTGAGATATCAGATTTAAATCCAAATATCTTCACCTCACCGTGGCACCAGAGTAACATTTAAAGGACCCCCACTGTCATTAGAATTAATCCTAAGGGTTATATGAATGTATGTAGAAGATTTCATGGCAATCCATACCATATATTTAGATATTTCAAACAATGTCAAACTAAGTCGATCAATATAGGCTTTGTTTTGTATACCTCTTGTGTAGCTTCCCAACAGCCCAAAGTCTGTGCCTGTGTCCGTCTCAGGGGTGGATGTTCCTGCAACGTCTCCACCAGCAGCAGCAGTAGTAGTAGTAGAAGTAGTAGTAGTCATAATGATGGAGGACTGAAGGACTCCGTAGCCACTTGAATGACCGCCTTCCTCCCCCTCTGCCTCCCACAGCTCTCTCTCTAACGGATCCACCTGTAGGGGAGACATCAGGTAAAGGGAGACACAAGAGGAGGTGACAGTCAAACATGTCATTTCCACTGGAAGGCTGTCTCTGGGGTTTAAACTTCCTGAAGCCACGTGAGGTGAGGTGACGGAGTCTGATACACATTTTCAAAAAGCACGCACAGACACGTTGTTTGGTTCCACTTGAAAAAATATGACTTATTAAACGATGAACATTATCCTGATCAGGCAATCCTCAGAAATATGTAACCAGAAAACAAAAAGTGTCACGTCCATTTAAAGATTACCTATTATGCAAAATACACTTTTGGATGTATTTTATACATAAATAAGTGTCCCCAGTATGTTAAGATTTGGAAGTTTCATGAAAAAAGTTTCTCTCTCTCTGTTTGCTCTGATCTGGTCTGAAAATGAGCTGATCAAATTTTGGCCACTTTGTGATGTCACATGTTTTTTTGGGTTGTGCAACCATTAGCCAATAACCAACCAATGTAACACGCGCCCACCTTATCACCTGAATCTCCTAGAGCAACATTTTGTTTTTTTAAACCAATCACGTCACAGAGGGGCGTGGCCAGCAGCAACTCATTAGCATTTAAAGCTACAGACACAGAATCAGCTCTTTTGAAACAGGGCTGAAACAGAGGGCATGACAATGGCATGCTACAATTATCTGTTTGGTATTTCAACCAAACACTTCAGATTCAACTTGGATCCAGTTTTATTTGTAGAAAATATCTCTGTCTATTGATTTATATATATATATATATATATATATATATATAAAAGTAATAAGTAGTAAGTATACTACATGTACTTTATATTTAAGTAATTCAGGTAGCCTTTTTCCGGTTTTTATGTAGAATATCTGATATCTTTTCCACGCCAGTATAATAGCTTAAGTAGTAGCATTAATAATACTAGTAAGAATATAGCCCCGTATAATGATAGAAGCACTAGTGATAATCACAGTAGTGTACATACTACTGGCAGGAATAGTAGTACAATTAGAAAGTTTATAATGGCTATTAACATGAAAAGACCCAATGACTCGCGTAAGCTGTCATTAATTTATAGATCGTTAAAGAGAAACTTAACAATAAGTCTTCTCTGTGTCTCTTATCCCCATTTGCTCACATGAAACAATGAGCGGCCACTAATCCCATAAAGGGTTTAAACACTAATTTAATTATTCTCAGCAAGATTAGCAGGTGAGCTTTGTGGATTACTGGACCTGATTTACTGCGATCTAATTAAAGTCAAAATGGAGCTGATAATTACTTGCTTACTTATCTGCTATAATAGATAATAATGTAGTTATAATAATAATGTAATGATATAACATATAAAAGTGTATCAGTCACAGGAAACATTTTTTATACTTTTAAAACGTAGTACAATTTCCTGATTAAAATTACAACATCAAGTATTATGATATTGTTGTATTAATAATTCTACGTCACATTTAAGTTAAGGATATGAATGGTTACTGCACCACTGATAATATTAAGTGGCTTATTAATAATAAGTGAAAATGTCAAACAGTAAAAGGATGACTTTATGGGGCTTTTAACTTCTGTCATAATAAAGTAATAAAATCTGGACGGTTGTGCGTGACTTTTTTGAAAGGTTCTATCTAATCTTCATTTTTTGTAATATATTTTTTATGGAAGAGACTGTTATACTTATAACTACTGAGAAAATATCCAATCCTAACAAATTAAATAGGAAGACATTAACAGTAATATGTCAGTATCCAAATCTTTTGTCCATCCTCACCTCCAGGACGGGGGCTGCACGGTGCTCCTGTAGCCCAGAATCATGCACCTCAGCTGGGGAGGAGATGCTGGGCTGGAAGGATGGACTGTAGCCTGTGAGAAACAGCAGACATGTCAGAAACATGTGTGTGTGTGTGTGCGTGTGCGTGTGTGTGTGTGTGTGTGTGTGTGTGTGTGTGTGTGTGTGTGTGTGTGTGTGTGTCAGCTGGTCCTCTTTGTACTGTTTTCATAAGGTTTCGACATGGTTCAAACAAGAAACACGTAGTCGTGTTATAGTCACGACAGTTAATCTATTGATTCGTGTTCACCATCACGATTTCCACCTTTTTTTCGTGTCACACAGAACGATTTTAAAAGCAATGTATTTATAGTATGTTTCGTGCCTGCACCACGTCTTTTTGTCCGGTCGGCTCTTGGAAGACCGGAAGCTGTGTGGTTCATAAAAACATTTTCTTACTCAATATCAAGCTACGATTATTGTTTTTATTTTAAATCGTATAATTTCGGACTTTTTTTGCCATCCGTGAGGAAAATAAATGGGGCTCAGAGACTGAAATATGTATTTTTTAAATCTTTTGTTCCTTCTAATTTGTTATTCTTTTCTAAATAGCACACTGTTATTTACTCACCAATAACACACAATTATCCTTGTTTTTATTTATTTGTTTAATTCTATAATCTTGGCCTTTTTGGCGTCCGTCAGGAACTGCATTTCAAAATAAAAATAACCGGAAACANTCTAAATAGCACACTGTTATTTACTCACCAATAACACACAATTATCCTTGTTTTTATTTATTTGTTTAATTCTATAATCTTGGGCTTTTTTGCCGTCCGTCAGGAGCTGAATTTCAAAATAAAGTCACCGGAAACAGACGTAGGCGATACACACCAAGCCCCCAGGAAGTGCGCTGGACTCAGATGAAAATATTCGTGGTGGCCAAACGGCGGTACTACACTTCCGTTTGGTTGCCAGGCCCGGAAACACTTTTTCCCATTGACTTACATGGGGAAAGAGTGGTCTGTAAATCGTTGGATAATTTTTTTTAAACTAAATAAACCACCCAGTATGAACACTTGTATAGCCCTTATTAAAAACATTCGTTCCTCAAGTTGTAAAAGTGTGCTAATAACGTTATTCTGAGAGTTATTTCCCTCTGCATTATGAACGCGCATCTAACCCACGGGACCGCGCCGCCCGGCACGTTCATGTTACGTGTTCAGCA